TTATTCCCAAGGTCATTCTGTTTGTTTGTTTGGGATTTAAGTCTGGATAACACTGACTTAGAACCGCTCCAGCCTGGCCAATTCACGACCAGATAGGCTGTTGCTAAAAATCTTCAACATCCAAACATTATGAACTTCAACTACTGTAGAAGTTGCTGCTGCAGCTGGGCGGAATTTCTTTTTTTGTGCATCTTATGCTGTTATCAGACAACGGACAGCGGGCAGTGGTAGTAGCAAGGTGGCAGGAAATAAGAGGAGAGAAGAAAGGTTCCTGGCTGAACAAGAAACAGGGATTTTGTGGTTAATGGTGGACACCTTGACCCCTAAACCAGCAGGATGCCTCACATGGTCTGACTCAAGCCATCACTGTATTTATACATGAAATTCAGCGGTAATAATTTTTTTTTAAACACGCACTATGCTTTTCAAGGTTGAAAATCATATGCAGTGACCACTGATGACTCATTGTGTTAGTTCATCTGTTCAGGTGTAAGGAGGGTTTGTGCTGATGTTATGAGTGAAGCAGAAATTCTTAACTGTTTATAACTTGTTTCTCACTAAGTCACAAGCCTGCTCGTGTGTTTTTGGGATAACCCACAGCCTTCTTGGCTACCAGCACTCCTGTCGTATGATATTCTGCACTGTACTCATTAAATAACACTGTCAGCAGAGGTTTTCCTTCCCCAGTCTCTGCCTGTCACTTATAGCCAGTCACACCATCCTATCATTGTAATGGCAATATGGATTATTTGCATGTGCAACTCAGTTGCAGGATTCAGTGCTGATTAAACAGGGTATATAATTTGAGGTCTTGTAAGTTTTTTTTTTAGGCTCTTGATGACAATGCTGTGTGGTATTTGATCTGTGTGTTTTTTGCAGATAAATATAGAGTAGCAGGAGCCAGTCTGTTATTTTATTATGTGTTTATGCTGGTATTTATTTTCTTGAGTGAGACTATAGCTACATTTGTCCTGGCTGTTTTTGTAAGTAGGTCTAATACTCCTAGCAGATCACCCAGACACAGACACAGCATACATCTGCTAAATATACTTCACTCAATGATCTACTTAAAAAAATCAAACAAACAGATGTGTGTCAACAACCAGTTATCCCTCTTTTTGGGAGTAAGGATATGTTGGATGTTACGTCAATGGCTGAAAGATCAAAGGACTCAGCCAACGTTAAAGTTTGGTTTGCAAGTTTATTTCACGGAACCGGAGACACACATTAAAACCATTTTGCTGCCTGTACATCCAGTGACGATCCTCTGAACGTGACCAGATGGATTCAACAGGACAGGTGCAATTTTTAATTATGCTACATATTCAGCAATATGCGAGGCTCGCGACTGTGATTGCTAAAAGAAATGTGAGTTACCAACGGATTACTTTGGATATCTCAAAAAACTAAAACCCTCAAGAACACCATCTCTCTTTACAGGTCAAAGTAAGTGTACAGTTTATAACTTTAATTTGAAGATCTCTCTGACAGGGGATTCTGCTAAACGTTCCCAACAGACCCTCACAATACGTTTTGGTCTGCCGAGTCTGTCCAGCTAAATAGTAGTCATGAACCAATAATCTGTGCCTTAGTTTTTTTAAAACGGAGCTACAGCTCCTCTGGTCTTCTATTTATCTTTCAGAGTGAGGAAAGAGGAAGTGATGGAGGGCAGGATGTTTAAGACCCCTTTCGTGTGTGGTAAATATCAGTTTATCTAATGGTGTTAACGATTTTATGTAGTCATCGGTTCCCACTTCATCTGAATTTTTAAATATTCCATTTTGTCTTATATTTATTTCTTTTCAGGAGTATGGAGGAGAGGAGAAACCAAAAAGAGATATGAATAGAGGAGAAAATGGAATGGAAATAAGCAGATGGCAGAGAAGAGGAGATGGGGGGGCGTAATGACATATGAATATTTGGAAATGGTCAGTATAATTTTATTTGCTTTAATTACATTTTATATAGTAGTAGGCTGGTACAGGCCCCCGGGTTCCCGCCCTCCAGTGTGTGTGTGGCCCCGGTCCGGTACAGGCCCCAGCTGGCGGGTTCGGGAACCTTTGTGAGGGGGGACCCCCTTGGGTTCCCG